TGCACAAACCAACCGGCGTTACAACATGTCCGCCAGCTGTACGTACATGCGATCCTGTCCAAGGCATTATCACTTTCTTCAAGGTACGTGCCAATTGTCCGCTAATAATCGAGTAGTCAGCACCAGTGTCTATTAAGGCAGTTAAATTGCGACCGTCGAGCAGCACAGGTATGTCCATTGAAAAGTCGCTCAGCTGGGATACAGGCGCCGGCGTAGTCGAATTTCCGTTGGTCCGATGTCGCGTCGATTGGAGGGCGAGGTCTTCATCACGTCGAGAATCAGCGGCCTCGCCTCGAAAGGTCGCTGGCGTTAGTTTTCCAGGCGAGGGCTCGGAGACCGTCCTTGCGGCCTTCGATTTCCGTTGCCTGAATAAGATGACGACCGCGGTGACGGTGAGCGCGACTGACGCCTGAGTGGGACGTTCTGCCGAGCGATAAAATCTTCAATTTCTGGTGGTCTCTGTCCAAACCGGGGGCGGGGTGAATTGGCAGGAAAACCCTGCAGCCCAAGTCGGCGGTACTGGCAGTCTCGGTAGAGGTGACCCGCTTCACCGCAGTGGTAGCAAAGCGGTCGTCGGTCGGGCATGCGCCATATGTCGGATTTACGCATGACGGGTCGAGTGTCTGCAAAATAAGGGACCACCTGTGCGGACTGCAGTGTGGCGTACGGGGTTGCGGCTGGTAGTGGGACTGGTGCAGGTGCGTTGTGTTCGAACGTGTCGGTATAAGTGGTGCGCTGGAAACCACTCACTGGGGATGGTGTCGTGGACGACGGAACGGTGCGTCTCAATACGTCTGCGTAGGTCACCCCTAGAGGTTCACTTGAAGTTGCGAACGCCTGAAGTGGTGCAGCAACCTGCGTTGGTGTCTCGCGGCGAGGTGTGCCGAGCGCATGCTGAACTTCGTCACGTATGATGGTGGCGATGCAATTCGTGGAAGGCTGCTGCTGCGCCTGGTTCAGCTGTTGCAGCTGTTGTAGCTCGTCGCGAACAACCGAACGTATCAGCTCGCGAAGCGCTCCCACGTCGGTCGGGAACGAGCCTAGCCCGGTGGTATAGGTAGCATTCACTTGCCGATCGTACTGGTTCCGCTGCTGCAGCGCCTTTTCCATGGCGACGGCTTCAGTGAGGAACTCCGCGACCGTTCTAGGCGGACTACGAATGAGTCCAGCGAAGAGCTGCTCTTTCACACCTCGCATCAAGTGTCGCAGCTTCTTGTCTTCCGGCATGGTTGGATCGGCGCGAGTGAACAGATGAACCATATCCTCCACGTATGTAGCCACACCTTCATTAGGCATCTGCATGCGGGACTAGAGGGCCCTTTCAGCGCGCTCTCGACGATCGAGACTCGAGTACGTTTCGCGGAGCCTGTGACAGAACTCGTGCCACGACGTTAGGAGGCCCTTGCGGTTCTGGAACCATGTGCGAGCACCATCCAGAAGACTAAAGTACACATTCTTGAGCTTCGCTACTTCGTCCCACCCGTTGAAATCCGCTACGTACTCGTACTCAGCCAGCCAATCTTCCACATCTTCATAGAGGCCACCACGAAAGGGACTCGGAACACGTGGTTTTTGTAGCGTGTAATGAGTGGGTGCAGCTGCGGGTGCAGCGGTTGGAGCAGCGGCGGCTCCAGCGGTAGGGGAAGCGGTGACAGCAACAGTATTCTCCATACCAGTCGACGTACTTGTACTGTGAGGCACAAACTCGGGGGACAGTCCTCGAATCCTCCGACTGAAACGGTGTACCGGCGTAAGCTCTGGGTTTTGGGTCACGTTCCGGCTGCTAGAAGGAGTCTGTTGCATAGGTGAGGTTACCCCGCACCTCCACCATTAAAATGTCACGTTAAAGAGACAGGAGACGTTTTTAAGGCGTCCTCACAAAAGTCCGAAGAGCGGTCGGCTCAGCACAGCCAAAAACAGAACAATGGCACGAGGGGAACTGCTACTTCGTCTGCCTCTTTTGCGCTGGCAGATCAAGCGCGCGGCAATATATATAATGAGTCAGATGAATGTCTTTTTGTCGCTCAACAATAACCATTATCTATATTAATCTATATTTCATGTGTATGTGTCGTCCATCCACTGTCTGATGTGACGCAATCGCACTGTGGTCAATACAAGCCTAAAACAGGCTATCAATACTCAGTATCAGTGCAAAATAAATGAGAGGTTCTGAAATAATGCAATATACATGATCAACCAAGATTTATTCACAATAATGTATCTAAAATCACAAACACCTCTATTTTAATACAATTACACGATTCCAAATCAGGCCCCGGAATTGATACAAATCGAGGCGCACAGCTTTACACAAGGACAGTCTTGAACACTGATCCAATCTTTAAGCCTTTCACTTTACACAAATAGGCGGGTTCGTTACGCCGCCTATTTTGAAAAAGCACCAAGTACCCGGCCTCTTAAATAGAAATTTTCATGTGCGGCTTTAACTTACCTGCTGAATATATGAAATGCGAAACTTCAGACAAAGCATTTGACTGACACGCATGCTGTGCTTGTAACCCACCAATACATTTTACCGTGTGGTGTTCTATCGCATGTATCATAGTCTTAACACGGGCCTCGAGCATTTCACCCACGTCAAACTGTGATTGCCGTGGCCGGGGTGCTGCTGGAGTTCAATTACGAAGCATGCATCTTGCAAAAACGATCATGTGCCATGTCGTGGGCGCATTGTGTGGGAACCACTAGTTAGTTATATAAATTCAGAGTGTCTACCATCCTGGAAAACGTGCGATTGTCAGCGAATTCGGACATGTCTGGAAAAGTGAGTGAACTCTCATATTTATGAAAAGCCTGTCCCGGTCACAGAAATTATAGCCAGATAATAAATCCTAGAGTGGAGGCAACTGAAGCGTCGCGGCTGATCACCTTTGCAGCTTAAGAAGTAGTCTCTCTAATGCGTTGTCCAATTTTCTCCGAAGGCAGGAGCACAACAGCCATCCAGCTTGTGACAGTTTTAAATGTGGGCTTGTATGCATCCACCTTTGAGAAGGAAACGCCGTAAAACTTTTGAAGTAAATTGTTCAATTTGCGTTTCGTGCTTAAAATGCTATCTTCTGACCTTTCTATCACCAAAACAAGAGCATTTAGAGAGTCCTATCATACGATAGACGAATCAGTGATGGCTTGGGTGAAGGAGCTACCCATTGTGAAAAAATGTATCACCATTACTGACAGGCAATTAGCAGCTGTCGTTGTATTCTTTCACTTAGTAGTGGTCATTTGGGGAAAATGTTTTACCCATTTTTTTTACGGCTCTGCAGAATAACGGTCATATACTCAATCCTGTAGCGAGCGAATCGCATTAAGCCATGCAGCTTTATGTAGAATATTTTCCTTGAGGCATCTGGGTGCCGTCATGTTCGGCTGTGTAAGTCGATGTTTTCTTGTTTCTGCGTATTGCGACATGGATTGATAAGACCATGAAACGTTGTACCCACCAACCAAACTATTCCTATGCGTATACGTCTACCGTAACACTGTTTGTTTAGAGGTTAAAGTTTAAAAGACAATGGTTAACAGCCCAGTATGGCGGCACTTAAACCTATCCATAAGATAGTCTATATGTGGCAAGTGTACTGCAATGCCTTCATGTGCTTTTGCTTTCCTGTATGTTGTCATCAAAATGGTGAAATTGAATCTTTTTACCCGACGAATGTGATTGCTGCTTTGTTGCATATTTGTGATAGGCCGTTCATTGCAACTTTTTTGTCAGTGTGCTTGTTCTTGGAAATTTCGGCTGGCTTACTGCATGCATCTGTGTGGCTGAACTTTCTTTGCTGTTTCAGGCGTTTTTGCTATCCACAGAGTACTGCACAGGTTACTTGAAAACATAGAGATAACACTTAGTTTTCTGCAAGTTAAAACATTAAAAGCAGTCTACAGGAATACAAAATCTTCCTTCTCCAGTTTTTTAAGTGGACATCAGAGGCCTTGCAGTGTCAGGTATTGAATGTACATTATGCACAATCCGTTGCACTTTCACTACTCCAACCTTGCTAAACATATAAAAAAAAACTAACAAAACACTTGATCTCATTGGCTTGCTTCAGCTTTTACCAATTTGGGGGCCTGAATTTTTTCATGGTACTATAGGGTTACTTTGGACAGCATTGACCCTCACTGTCCTTAGAGCACCTTTGTGCATGTAGTAGAATGTAACGAGAATATTTCAGTATATCTTAGTGTTTCAATTAAGTTTTCTTCAGTAATTGTTCAAATATTTTATATACCATAAGGTCACCGAAAGGAAACCCTTGTACTCGGGAGCGACAAAGACAGTGCCGCTGTACCAAGCTGCATAGGTGTACATTTTTTAAAAATAATAAGAGCTTGATTTCGGAATTTACATGCATGTGCTTTATGCTTCGTGGCATTCTGGAGCACTAGGTGCAAGCATTATCGCAATCTGCCTTTTTCACGATGCTTTTGCACATGCTCCCTTCTCTAGCGGAAAAGTCGCGAAACACCTGCTGGTATCAGAGGCCTTCGTTGTAGCAATGCCAGTTCTCCTGGCCCCTACCAAAACATCAGAGCGCAGCACAGGAAAATGGAAAGCGCGAATCGCGGTTATTGGGACTCTCCCAATGCAGTCTTGTTATTGGTGTTGTGGGTTCATGTAAAGTGCGATTGCGATGCTGTTCTAACAGGCTCTGTGCTCCGTGTGAGAAAGAAAAGCTTCCAAGACTGATTATGCAGTGCGAAAAAGTATAAGTCGCAGCACAAGGCAAGGGACGAAGGGGAGGCTTTCTTCCAAAAAATCTATTTAGAAGAGCATACACATATATTTTCTCGAAATGCACATATAAACTTCCTTTGTGCCGTGTCTTACATTTATGCGCAACCTCATCCGTCATCTATTATCAATACGCCCAGAATTGTACTCTTGTCAGCTTTCTAGAGTTCACACAGTGATCGCACTCCTAAAGAGTGGGGAATAGAAGGGTGTGTGTTGTATTAATCGAGAAAAACTACAAATGTCGCTGCAGTGCGAATGGTGGCACCGAAACGAGGGCATGACATGTGATGTGGAGTTGAGATTTATTGTGGATATTTTCAAACCCGTTTCTCACCACCCTAACTACGGTTGTGCAAGGCAGTGTATGCACCCCACTTTGCAAACATTATATGCCCATTCCAAGGGCACGCAAGAGCGAAGACAGCTGGTCATCGAATGCACACTTGATGCATATTTTCATATCTCTGCATGCAGGTTGTGATATCTCAGAAAAGAGAGATTCTCTGCTATGCATTTGCTCACTTCTGTTTGCCTTGTTCCATTATGCAAGCATTCTGAAGTCCAGTCATTGCAGTATTGAGTGACGTCTATGTCTGTGTTCCTGTGGAAGCATCTGCCAAGCTCATTAAATATTCCAAAAATATTTCTGGAATATGTGGGTTCACTAAACCTCTAAACCTCATTTCGTATGCCAGTTTAGCACATTGGTGTATCTATTGAGGCTATGCATTTTTTGTTGAAACAAACTTCCGATGATTTTTTTGGTAACATGAGGACAGCTTCACAGAATGTTCTAAAGAAACATAACCAATATTGCTGTTGTATTTAAGCCTTTACTGCCGAGTATCGGGAATGTGCGACATACGAAAAATTTTGAGCAAGCAAGTACTGATGGTGGATTGCTTACTTATGAAGCAGCGCACCGAGACAAGGCACAAAAGGAACGAAAGAGACACCGCTGTGCCTTGTGTTTGGGCACTGCGTCTTATGTACTTAACATGAACTATCACCAACTCATTTAGCTTTTAACGTTACTGAACTTCACGAGGAATGTAGCTTTTGATTTGAAATATCTGGCGCGTCTTGTCTAAGGTATTTTATGCTAGGACCAAGTGTTTTGTAGCTGATGGTGGAGAGTACTAAGCCTGTGCAACAGCTCTCACTTCTTCATTCTTTTTCACATAGATTATATATGTTCAGTCCTCAATTATTTTGTTTAATTAGTGTGTATGCACCTAAGTGTTGGTACACGACGTGTGATGTAGTTTCGAAGCACATTTTTTTGTTTCAATGTCCTTGCTTCTGTGGCATGTGAGAGCACTCATGACATACGTAAAAGTACGCATTAAAGTTGCATTTTAGGATCATTTTAACATCAGAATCATTTAAAGATTACTATTTAAAGCTGGAAAATACAAATAGTTTTTACTTTGTTTGGCAGTATCATAGTTCAGGCTTTAAAGGGTTAAATTTAGGTGGGTCCACCTATATTAATACTACAAATGATTTTTTTCCCTGTTTTCATTAAGATTGCTACAAGGCTTGGTATCTATAAATTTGCTATATAACGTTGTGTATTTAGTGCATGAAAGACCTCTAATTATTTAATCATACCTTTTGAAGACGTTTCAGTGTACTCAGTTATGGGGCACACAAAGATCACTGCAATCATTGCACAGCCTCCGTTTGCAAAAAGGGCACGCTTTTCAGGCTCAGCAAAGTAACAACTGAGACGCTTATTCGCGTTCGTCTTACCTGTGAGTACGTTTCGTGTGTCATTTGTGCATGAGAAATGCGAGGCAGGTTTCGATCTGCTTGCCATTCTGCACGTGACCTTCCAATTTGTTGCCATCGTGTTCATTGCTTTGCCTTTGCGGCAAAGCTGTGACATTTGTTGCTAAATGATATGATCCAATTATTTTCCCATTCTATGCGTATGCTTTTGTTACCTCTTTATTCACTACATGCAATCTTGTTCTGAGCTTGTTCTTTCCCCTTTTATTACAAAGGCTTTTTATTGTCTTATTGCATGCATGCACTTACATTGTTTAAGCATTTAACAATTTATCACAAAATTAGTTCTGTAAGTACATTTTGTTGCATCAAATAGCTTCTCATGCTTTGTGAATGTTTTGCATTTCAGTGATACGCCACAGTGGTGTGGCGGTGACGGTGCTCAGCTCCTGACCCAAAGGTCGCGGTTCGACCCCGGCTGCCTTCAGTCACATTTCAAAGGAGGCGAAATGGTCGAGCTTTGTGTACTGTGTCATGTCGGGGCACGTTAAACAACACCACGTAGTCGAAACTTTCGGACCCTCCTTCACGGTGTCCCTCGTGACCATGTCATGGTTTTTGGATGTAAAACACCAGGATATTTATTATTAATAATATTATTGTTATTGTTGTATGTCAGTGCTTACACTAAAATAATATAAGACCGTTAGCATACTAAGTTTAGCGTTGCATTGGAAGTTGAGTGATCAAATATGCTCAATCACTTGTTATTGCCATAGGATCTGGTTTCATTGGTGCGTTGCCAATACTCACTGAAAAATGGTTTGTGATTCTGCTACATTTTTTTTTCGCGATGTCATTTATTAAAATCTGGCATACTACTCTTGCCTCAACTGTAGTGCTAAAGAGACAAGTTGTTCTTTTCCAGTTCCCCTAATTCATGTTGTTTCTTTAAGCTTTTGTGATCACAGACTGTGTTAGTCAACACCACCACTGTCATTTCATTTCTTTGACTGTTAAAGACTACGGCTACAGTGGTGGCATTTTAGTAGGGGCAAAATACCTAAACAATTCTCTACTATCGAGCTCAGTATGAGCTACGCTGCAAGCGTCAAGTGCATTGTAAGGTTAGAAAATGGTATCACTCGTGACATGATTTCGAGATATGAGGGCAGAGATTGGCTGTTTCTGCGAGTATGCATTGCCTCAGTTTGTTTTCACGCTCACCCCCGTTTTGCGCTTTGGTAGTGTCTTCTTTGTAAATGACAATTTCGAGAGCGTAAGCAAGCAAATGAGGGCTGTGCACTCACGGGTGCAGACAAACTTTCCCCAAATTTGTCGAAAATATGTCATGACCGGCACCACGCTACTACCTCGCAGTGCACTTGGCCACGTGATCATGTGTTGTAGCCCATACCGAGTGCCATAGTATGTACTTGGGTTCATGTTCTGATTAGGAGAACCCTGGTTTGCTGAAATCAAACCAAGATTTTCTTACTGCGACCTGACTCACAGTCGTAGGGCTCTGTTGTCTTGTATAACCCTCAGATTAAAATTTATTCTCTTTTCAGATCAAAAGCAGCACTCAAATAACCTGCCTTGTTTTCTTTGTGCAGTGTGTGAGTCTTTCATCCCTCCTGCTACCGCGAATGCAGCCAGTTGCGTGGGGATGCCCTCATTGCTGTGATTCGTGTGACTACGAGACTGATAAGTAGTATAACCTGATACAACACACGAGGATTCATACGGGCGAGCAACCTTAAAGATCCCACCTGTTCTCCAATACTTCTCAATGAAGACCACATTGAACACTCACCTGCGTACCCACAGAGAAGAGCAACTGTATAAATGCCACCTGTGCCCTCGGGCCTTCTCACATAAGATTAGCCAGAACGACCACCTACTTACCCAAGTGAACAAGCGACCACATAAGTGCCACCTGTACCCCCAGAGCTTCTCAAGAATAAGGACACTGAAAGAGCATGTGCGCATCCACACTGGCGAACGACCGTACAATGCTCTTTTTGCACCCAGATGCACCGGCCACACTTGAATGCCTTGGTACTTTTGCTACAGCTAAGCACCGTTTCCAAGTTTTGAGAACAGTAGCAGTGTGGATGCACATATATGAGCTCTGATTTATTTATACTAATTGAACTTTCTTTTTCTGCCATATCCATTTTATTTGTCATTTTAATTGGAACAAATGTAACCGTGTTCTGTGATTTGTCAATATATTTGTTGTTGTTAGCGGACACATTGGGCTACTATTATATAAATCATGATTGCTCTATATCTTGCACTGTAAATACAGTTTACTGTTGGGTAAATATTTACCGATATATTTGTGGAATGGCGCTTTTTGTTCCTGACTGTCTTTGTTACCGCTAAACTTATGGGAGGTGCCTTCTGTTTTGTTGCTTGCAAAATGATATGATGGAAATTTTTCTCATTTTATGCTTTTGTTATCTTTTTATTGATTAGATTTAAGCTTTTTTGAGCCTTTCTTTTTTCCTTTTATTATGTTGTAAGTTTCTCATTTGTCTTCTTGCACACATGCAGTTTGCATCGTTTGTGCATTGAACAGTGTCACATAATTTGTTCTGTATGTACGTTTTATTGCATCAAATAGTTTACCATGCTCTGTGATTCTTTAGATTTTTTTTGTATTTCAGTGCTCACCTTAAACTTGTTCTAGATCATTAGCATATAAAGTTTAGTGTTGCATTGAAAGTTGAGTGGTACAATATTCCCCATCACTTGTTATTGTCATTGAAAATGTTTTTTGTTCATGCATTATCAATAATAATCTCTGAGAAGGGGTTTGTGATTGGGCTACATGTTTCTTTTTTACTGGGTCATTGTTTAAAATTTAGGCATACCTCCTTCTTTCAAGTATAGTGCTGAAGAGATATGCTGATTCACCGGGAGTGCTTGGCCAAGAGTCCCGTAAGGTCATGTCATGATCGTGTCATGATCGAACCACGAAGTGGTATCGATCATGACATGATATCGAGTTGTCAGGCTCTTCCTGTGAGTGCGCGGCACCTACTCTTGCTTTTACGCTTGCCCTCGTTTTGCCTTTGGTGGTATCAGTATCCCAAGTTATAACATTGGGGGGTGTAAAGAAGCCAGTGGGGGGTGATACACACTCACAGCTGCTGCCCTTTACAGATAACTGAAATTATGCCATGATCGAAGCCACTGTATGGTGTTGAGGAAAGGACGAGCTGCCGTCGACCTCTTCTTTACTACGAATACTGATGTAGTCCCAATCATGATAATATCGCTACTCCTCGCCTTCTGCACAATTCTCAACATACAGTCTTACCGTACGCTCGGCCACGTGCTGGCGTGGTGTTGCTCATGCTGTGCATGATTGTAATTGGATTTACACTCACGTTATATAAACACTACGTGCCTAGAAATTCACTGATATTTTCCTACTGTGACATGACTTATAGTCGTAAAGCTCTATTGCCTTGCAAAACCCCAATGGTACGATTAATTTTTTAATGTTAAGAGTAATGCATGAATACCGTGTCTTTTCTTTGTGCAGCTTCAGGGTCTTTCGTCCTTCCTTCAACCATGGATACTGACAAGTCTCGTCGGGAACGCCACCACCTCT